TAAAAATAAATTAAAGGTAATGTACTTACTTGTTTCGTCGTTTTCCAAAATACCAGCTCAATACACTAAAGATTCGTTCACATGCAGCATTGTGAGGTATAATAGCGTGTACTTTTAAGGCCAATGTCTTGATATGATCTTCATTTCTCTTAAGATCAACTGAGATCCACCAATTATAAACCGTGTCGATAGATGATAGAAATCCATCATCAAAAGGATATTCGTAATTTTTGTATAGACTCATCTGAACTTTTAAAATATCCGCGCTTATTCGGCCACCACCAAATTGCTTCCAAATTTCTAATGCCCTTTTAAGAATGTGATTCTTGTACACGTTAACCTCGAAAAAATTACCTAATCGTTATTTAAAAAAACAAAAAAAGAAAAAAAATTAATACGAATAGTAAACTTAAAAATGTATATTATAATTAACTCTATTATTTAGATACCACGATAAACTGGGTGCAAAAAAAATGCTAGAAGATACAAATCCGTGTCAAATTCTCTCCATCTTTTGTTGTAAATTGCAATACAGTCATGCTGGAACCGACTATTACCGGAAATGGAAGTTTCTCGAATTGCAATTGCCATCTTAACCAGCTCAACAAAAATGTCTGCTAAAGTAGTTGTACGAAACTCAACATTTTTTACAGCTCGTTTTACTGGACCAAGTAAGTTTTTTAATTGTTCAACATCGATCCAAAATTGACGATTGTTTATGAGATTTTTTGTAGCACTCGCATGACTAAAAATTTGTGGTTCTTGTTCTAACACCTATTAAATCCAATTTAGATAATCTATTAGTGATTTTTTATAAAATTTTGAATCATATAGTAAAAATTGTAAAAAATAATCGTGTAGCGAAATACGATCGTGTAGCGAAATACGATCGTGTAGCGAAATACGACCGTGTAGCGAAATACGACCGTGTAGCGAAATACGACCGTGTAGCGAAATACGACCGTGTAGCGAAATACGATTGCGTAGCGAAATACGATCGCGTAGCGAAATACGATCGCGTAGCGAAATACGACCGTGTAGCGAAATACGACCGTGTAGCGAAATACGATCGCGTAGCGAAATACGATCGCGTAGCGGAATACGATCGCGTAGCGGAATACGATCGTGTAGCGAAATACGACCATATAGCGAAATCGACCGTATAGCGAAACACGATCATGACCTTGTAAAATAGGTAAGATCAAAAAAATTTTTTAAATAAAATTATAGAAACTCACCAATTTGATGTTTGTTTCATTGCGTAATATAGATTCGCAAGAATCCCATGCTGTTGACCACCGCGTTTTAGTTGTTGTCTTGAGACCTCCACCAACAGTGAAAGAACGCATAATTTCATCCCTAAGTGCAGCACCAGCAGAATAGGAATTTCGAAAAAAACTTATTATTGTTTGACAGTTAGAAAGTGTTTTTTTCGCAAAAGGAAGGCTGCAAATATCACTAGAAATTAATTGGATATGATGTGCAATGCATCGTATCGGTAAGATGTGTGGATATTTTGCTGAGACTTGACGTTTAGCTGCCATCATAGCTGTTTCGGCATCTGATACCACTGCTATAAATTTCTCAGGTCCAACTTTTTCCAACACTTCGATTATCTTTTCGGCATTAAAACTTGCCGTATGTGAGAATTTTGAAAAATCTTGTAAAGAATATACATATTGCTTTTTCTCTTGCGTCATTATAATGAATGCATATATACTATGTTTCAATGGACTACTCCAACTATCAATGCACAGTGTAAGATTTTTAGATTTTGATAACTCCTTATCCATCTTTAACATAATATTCGCCATTTCGGTGTCGAGATGTGAAGTTGCCAATACGGTACGCTTGGGCGGATTGTATCCAGAATTTAGTGACTTAGTAAAATCTTCGAAATAAGGAGAATCAATAGTTGAAAACGGGATGCCAGAACATACAACCCATCTAATTAACGCCTTATTAGCCCTTATTTCCCTAGTTTGATCGATAGCAGCTGTCGTATCATAGTAGGCATCTAAAGTTAATGATTTTTGATTAAATGTTCTTTGTCTTTTAGGAGTGGATGGTGTAGACAATTCAGGTAACGTAGAGTCTGTCCCGTTTTGAATTTCTCGAAGTAAGTTAAAACGAACATCCCTGGGTACTGGCCCTTTACATTTTATTGCTGTATGGTATTTCATTTCTTGTGCTCTTCCCCGATTCCATACTTCACGACAAAACTTGCAAATTGCTCCTTTATGCCTCCCTTTTCCATTATTAACTTGATTATAATATTGCCAAACTTCAGCCTTAGGTCTCCCACCGACACTTGTCAAATTTTGCACTGTTTCGACTTCGGTTCTATTTTGTGTAGGCATCTCTGTTCCAAAGTGCGGCATTTTAGTCTCAGCCTGCATAGGCATTCTTGTTC